GTCCACCAGTTATGAACAAGGATGATCACACCAAATAATCCTCATGTCTAAGTCTGGCATCAATACCATGTACTGGTGCACCAAATAACTGTTCTGCTTCCTCTTCATTGTTCCCGTCAAAGGGCACTTAAATAATAGCAGTTATCCTGTATATATGACAGCTATATCAGAGGAAATATTGTCAATCTAAATAAAGAGATGAGAATATTACTCTCTCTGGGTTGGTTGCTGCCTCGTGTGCTAACCGGCTCACACTATATCTACCTAACATAACTGGCCAGGAATGTAAAGTTAATAAACGGGTTTCGGTAATACACTTTTCTTATAGTAGACGCAGTTGGAGTTGATAACAGGATCACTATTAGTCCCATAACTTACTTGTCCAAGGGAATTTATTCGAGCTGTTCTGCTCCAGCGACCGGTTATTTAAATTAACAACGGCTGACCCTCCTCCACTGATGCCCTGGCTCTCTTGTCCAGATGTCAACAAGTGGTAGAAAGGTTACATTTACTCTATTTTGGTACTTTTATTTACGTTAATTCTAGTGAGATATTTTTGTGATGTTAACAGTCCAAAAACTGCTGTATTAAGAATAATTCCCAACAGAATTAGCTGGTGAAATTAGGAGCAACATGTGGCAATAATATCCCATTTTCTATTGATGGAAATTTCCACTGTGCTACATTTTTTGTATGAATAAATACTATTTCTAGGGTTAATTTGTTATTTACACAACAACAGCAATATTATCTGCATATTGTATTTAATATTAATGTATGGTGTCGGGTTTTCCAACATAATTTCCCGGGGCTGCTCACGGGTCGAAGTCCTACTTAGAACTGACGAACACCGATAATCCTCCTTCAAATTATTAGTTTAATTTAATGTTAGTAGTTAGTAATCACACATTTGTGCGTCAGTTCGTAAAGGGCGTATTTTCTGTACTCGAGTTGCAGGGGGTTGAAAGTCTTTGACATTTTCTTTCCCTGCTAACTCTTAGGAGGTTAAAATTTCAGCCTAATTACATTTTATTTAACCCAGAGTACTGAATGTGAACAAGTACTACAGTCAAGAATGATTCTGGGACTGCAGTGATATCAGTGACATTAGGTATATTAACTAGAAGCTTGTTCAGGTAAGTGGTCACTGATATATAAACACTGAGGCCCATGGAAAACATCTTGATTAAATGAATCAAAATCAGTCGTCGGATTTATATAGTCAGTCATGCTCCTTTATGCTTATTTGCTAGAGTTGTTTAGCTGACAAATTGGGTTTAATGTAGTTTATTTGATTCAGAGGATTGAATAGTCAATCATTAAAGTGAAGCATGATTCTGAGACTGCAGTGGGTTCAGTGACACTGGTCGCAATGACTTGGAGCTTATTTAGGCTTCTGTTCACTGAATTGCCACTGAGGCCTCGTGAACTCATCTTCAACTTTAAATAATGATATCAAGATCAACCTCTGTTGTTATAGTCAGCTGTAATCTCCTTAGTATAATGCTACTGGAGTTGTATCATCAGCTGACAAATTTAGATTTCTATTGATATTGTTTATCTACAGGCATTGGTCTCCTCATACTTAATAGTGGGCCAGTGAGTAATTTGCCTCCTGCAGAATTTAGCATGATTATGCCCTGTTATTTAGTTTGGCTACCGATAAATTTGTGGTAGTAGTCAGCACCGACAAGGATTCCGAAGTCAGCGAGGTGATCAGACTTAATTTTATCTGCCAATTTTATTCCTCTATTTCTCAAAAATTTGGCAGTAGCTGACAGACCCCTGCACACGTAGGTCGGCTGGAATTGTGTCCACCAAAATGACTTGTACTTGACAGACATAGCTGCCTAATCGTATTGATGGTTGTACCACTTGGTAGACTTGTGGTCCTGTATCTGATAGGAACTCTGAAATATTGAATGTCGTCTGGGTTACAGGCATTAATTGTAGTTCATCTGCCAAATGTTTAGTGACAAATGTTCTCTGGGACCCTTGGTCAAACAACCCACGGGTCTGGACCTTGGCCCTCTTATTCAGGAAGGAAATTAAGGCAGTAGGCATAGTCGCAGTATTTTTGGTCTTTTTAATAGGACACTAAATTTCTGGTGCAAGTTGCAGTACTGTACTGTGTTGGGAATACTATCTTCCACCTTGGGGTTTGGAGACTTTGTTTTGGTGTCTCCGAACAATGCTGCATGGTGCTGACCCTTGTTACAGCTATTACAGGTGTGTAATTGGATCTCACAGTCGATGATGTTGTGTTTCTTGAGGCACCTCGTGGAATGTTGCAACTCTTTGAGTCGATCAATACGGGCGTCACAATCAGAACAATTAGGGCAGTGATATATTAAATGTTTCTCTTGGCAGAACAAACATGTTCCAAAGCTTACAATACCCTTTGGAGTCACATTTTTGGGTGACACAGTAACTATAGGCTTGTAGGGGTCCCACTGCATATGTGCCTACCCTGCTACTGTTCCACCTTGGTGTGGAATTATATTGTCTAGATTGAATTGGAGTACCTTTGGTGGTTTGTGATGTACTATTATTTGTTTCTGAAAGTTTACTTGGCGTTTTTAATTTCATGTGTTCGTAATTGATGAATTACTGAATGTAAACCTCAGATATTTCATTTAAGGATAAAATACTATTATTATAGTGAGCACTCATTTGTCATAATATGTTCCTTGGTATTTTCTCTGGACAATTATTTTCCAGACCCACTCAGTCCCATTAGTATCGGTTGTCAGGCTGAGGGCCTTGATCATTGATTCTACCTCCAGCTTAAAGATTTAGAGTGAATCAGCTGAAGCCTCCGGTGGGGGTAAATGCAACAGCTCATGTAATAAATGTGATGTTCTTACTTCTGGATCAGCATAATTATCCTTGAGGAGTTGTACTGCCAGATCATAGTCGTCGTTAGTTAACCTCAGCTAGGATACTACTGTTTAAGCCTCAATTGATAACTGATCTTGTAATTAAGAGAATTTACTACTCTTAGGTAAAGATTGTTTTGAGTCCACAAGGTCTAAGATTTTGTTCCAAAATTCGTTCCAATCTTCCTCGTCTTTTCCTGAGAAAGTGGGTAAATTAATTGGAGGGAGTCGAGCTTCAGCTTGACTCATATTAGATAAACTGCTGATGTTTCCCTGTTCTGGGCAATCATTTTGACGAATGGCTGTAACGTCCTGAGTTTTATCTTCATAACTCGCTAGATCAACCATAATATCGTCTATTTCTGTTGCTGATAAACTGGTGTTGGCAAGTTCAGCCACATATGTTGCTATTTGGTGCTTTATTTTTTTCAAATTTACCTGTAGCGGATTGATAATAGCTTTCCAGGTCAGCATAATCAATTAGAGATTCTTGTGACATCCTCACACTTCTTGATCTGTCTTGTTAAGTGGCCTTTAAGACGTGTAAGGGTCCTTTTCATTCTTCCTGCAGTATCCATACTAGCTAGTTGGTTAAGCCTTGTGAGGCTTGTACCTGGGTTGCTCATAATGCTGAAAAAGTACTGATGGAGTAGCCTACGGTAAAATTTGTAATTCAATAGGTTATAATCCTACCTCTTGTAGAGGTTAGTCTTAAAACTAATGTACATTATATATAATCATACACACAAATGATTTGAGTGATAATCCAGTGCCCCTGGAAGTACCTTTAGGTTAGCTCTTCAATTATCACCCTAGATTGGTATAGATACTACTTAATCACTCAAAGGTGCAGTGATTATAGGTAAACAATTATAAAAAATGTAATTATAGATTCACAACTCAACTCGAGCTGGTATAAATTTTACCCGAAACAGGGCCTGCACCATTGATTAATGGTGCTAGGTTGTTCAATACAGTACAACTAGACTATGGTAATAAATGGGACTAGGATGAACAATAATTAGTTCAACTAGTCATGGTAATATGTCATCACGTCACGTCATCACGATGTCTACGTCATCAATAAACACTAGTCAATTTAAATATCCTACCCTGTAGTGGGTTGGCAATCAGTAAATATTATATTGAGGAGACTAGTGCAATATATATTTTAAATAATTCTCTATTCAAGAGAAAGAATACACACCATTTGCGTTGTTATTAACCTCTTAATACTTCTAGATAGTACTAAAAGTTAAATAAGTCTGTTATTAGTGATCTAGCGAAATTAACACCACAAATTTAGTGTATATAAACTTGCGAGGGTGCAGCTGCTAATATGGGTGGTTTTAAATTTAGCGCTGTCACTCCGTGGAATAACACTCCACGAAATTAGTGGGTGACCTTGAAGCCGCTTGAGAGGCAGGGCGTCCTGAGGGGCTCATGAGTAGATAGCGGGTCACCGCGGCTGGTCTTTGACTGGCAATGTTTGTTTACTAATTTACTACACTAGTTTATTCAATTTGACGATAGTCTAGCTCTCTAGACTATCTAGGTTCGAATGACCAATTAATATGGGGACCCGACCTGTGAGATTTATATTTATTTAATTTATATGAACTAATTTTGTAATTTATATTTACAATAATTTATATATTTCAATAGCAAATTGTATGATGACTAAAGTGGACTGTATTTCTTCGAATTCCCACAAATGGATCTCCTTACACATTATTGGGGGTTTATGGATTTATATGTAGTTAATCAAAAATATTGATCAGCAGACATTCACTACAGTATTAGACAACAAATATTCACTAAAATAGGGAGGCCTTATCTTATTGTAGGTAGGCCGGGTCCACCAGTTATGAACAAGGATGATCACACCAATTAATCCTCGTGTTTGAGTCTGGCATCAATACCATGTACTGGTGTACCAAATAACTGTTCTGCTTCCTCTTCATTGTTCCCGTCAAAGGGCACTTAAATAATAGCAGTAATCCTGTATATATGACAGCTATATCAGAGGAAATATTGTCAATTTAAATAAAAAGATGAGAATATTACTCTGTGCCTCTGTGTGGTAGTGTGCCTAACAACACCATCTCTGGTTATACTCACAGGTTTTGGGTCCGGTGGGAGCGAAGTCCCGAGTGCCGAGAAGTGACAACGGTGCGGCCGTCCTCCGCGGTGATGCTCTCCACGCTACCTACCAGTAGTAATAGTGGGTGTATTACTATCGTATGGTTAATAATAATAATAATAATAATAATAATAATAATAATAATAATAATAATATTAATAATAATAATAATAATAATATATAATAATAATAATAATAATAATAATAATAATAATAATAATAATAATAATAATAATAATAATAATAATAATAATAATAATAATAATGAGAACATCAGTCGGACCCGTTCGGAGCATCCAAACTTGCACTGGGTACTCCCAAGCACATTCCTTAAACCACTGGATCACAATATGATAACAAATAATGTAACTTGAAATTACACTGAATCTTCTAGGGTTCTTGAGGCATCTAGTTGATACCGTGGATCAGTGGTTTAAGGCGTGAGCTTGAGAGTATCCAGCGTGCAGGTTCGAATCCTCTTCATGGCTTCTACTGATTTTCTTATTGATACGTCATGTTAAATTTATGTCTTTGTACAACAACAATAATAATAATAATAATAATAATGAGAAAATGCATAGGAGCCTTGATGAGGGTTTGAGCCGTGATGATGAAAATGCATAGGAGGTCTGTGATGAGGGTTCGAACCTATGCGGTGGGTTTTCCCATGCACACAATCTAGACGACTAGATCACGACATGGCATAAGGATTGCAACCTGGAGCTCAACTGAACACACTAAAGTTTCCGTGTGCATGGAAGGAAGAACACAATGGAAGGTGGAACATTCCTTAAACCTGATACACATGAACAGAGTGCATCAGGTTCATGATGTCTAGAGGCAAGGACTCATCTCCATTCTCAACCACGAAGATGATTCAGGATAAGTCACTGCATGGACTAGAGGCAAAATACAATGCCTTCAGACAGAAAGAGCCTCTTTTTCACAGTGCTCCCATTCCCATACCATTTTACTGATGATTCCATACACTCGATTTGTGCTGTGGAAAGTGCAGCTGTCATAGCGAGAGACCGCTCCTATTCTGTGTGAAGAATTTAAATGATAAACTAGAATTCCACTCTTCAACCAGAAATATTTCCATAATCTTTGGACTCAAACGAGTAATGTATCGAGAGTTAACACATTAATTGCATGTGACCTTCATCACTTATTGCACTCAACTACTGAAAACATAACTGTTACATGCAAGGCAGAGATATAGTCATCAAACGAGGGAATCGGAGCCCTTACAAATGTTGTTTTGCAAATGGAATGCAATGCATGTCTACGCTGTATACAAACACAATTTCATTAGAACTCCATAATTACATTCCACAGAATGAAGTAATCTTACTAAATCTCTCCAAAACTTAAATTTCCCCAAAATCTTCATTCACGGGCATTTCTCTTTCACCTGTGTCCATCGTACTCCCAGCCTTATTGCGTCATGTTGCACCATGTTGCAAACACCATTTTTACATTTGTTATGGTTCAAGCCCGTTACTTGCAATGTTGCATACAACATTCCATTCACTGACGGGCTTCACGGTCTATGTCACCAAACACCCAGTGAAAGGTTGGGTTTTTGCCCACTTCTCAGCTAGCTTACATTTGTTAGGTGATAGGTAGAAAAAGCCTTTTGCCTCAGAAAATGGTGGAGATGTGCACGGGGTGTGCACATAAGTCTTTCTTGTCAATGGAGATAGACTAGTGAAATCACGTCTCTTTCGAAAGGGGATGCCTTCAGCATTCCAAAGATGTAACTCTCGTTTTCGTAAGTATCCTGTGTGAATAGTTACAGGTTTTCTCTGAATTCTGTAACTCTTGGCCTTGGCAACAAAGAGTGAGAGAGAAGAGGATGAAGGGACAAACATCAGGTACCACGGCTCCCCAATGTCGGTGACGTGACGTCATCACCGTCTTTTGCCGGCTTAGCGTTTATTGGAAGCGGCACGAGGCCTCCGCCGAGGCTCGAGCCTGATTGGCCGAGGGCCTGGAACCAAAGGGAGCCGCCACTTGAATTCTCGCGCCAAAACCTTTGCTGGTCCAAGATTCCCGCGCCAAACGCGGGCATTCTGTATCGAGGAGCGACGCTGTAGAGAAGTAGGGAGATCACGGCTCTGGGCAAAGCCTTGATTCCTCCCTCTCCTTTCAACCTCCAGCCAGTTACTTAACCCTACGCTGTTCCACGTTGCAGTCGCAGAATCCTGTAGCACCAGAACTCGTTAGTGGTGAAAATTCAAGGAGATAGTGAAGTGATATCGTAAGCCGTCACATGTACTGCCAACAGGTGCAACAGAACTGTCCAGAGTCATCCAGTGAAATCGGCAACACCTAGAGCAACCCGTCCTTCTATTGCTCTGTCACAGTGAGATATAAGAATCAGGAAACGATTCTAAGTGTTTGAGTGGAGATCCGTGTGAATATCTTCAATATTGTGAGAGTATGTACTCTGTTAATTTTCCTCGTCCACGCCATTGTCCTCCCGGGGTGCCTCACATCTGGTGGTTCAATACATTCGTCTATTCCAGCGTGCATATCGTCAGCCTTCAGCAATACATCACGCTTGCGTTTAAAAACCCGGTGTATAACTGTGAGGGCGTTTCTAGTTTATTAGTGGAAACGTGTCAGGCGACTCTCGCCTCTGTGTCTTGAGCGCGCGGGAAACACCTCCCCGCTGCCCCTCAAATCCCCAGGCCGTGGGCCTGCTGCCTCATCTCGCTACCTCTGAGCGTCGATATCCCCAATCCGACCTCCACCACACTCCGTTGTCCCTGGCTCGTGCTTCAATCAACAGCTGGGGCTAGTGTGCGTGTGATTGACGTTGGTAAGTGTGTCATACCGATATAAATTAACTATAAATTAACGTGAGTACTCAAACATTATTTCTCTGTATCTTCCTAATGTGCAAATTCCTTGTGTTGATTTGATTCAGCCGTCCGGTGTTTGTTCTCACTAGTTTCCCTACGGGACCGAGTTCGATTCCCCGAGGAAGCACGATAGGTGAAGACCTGCTACAGCTTTTCTTTGTGAATACTGTAGCAAGATCTTAGTGTGATTGTCATCTTACACATTCAGTTTTACACATTTAGTTGTCTTTGTGACGTGTGTATTTTACTGTGTTTAGTGTGGTTTAGTGTTTACCATCACTGTGTGATTAACCCATGTCCTTGCCGTTCTATCTTTATTTCCAGGGGACATGCTGTAAGTCCAAGTAAGAGTTATTTACTTTGTGTACTGTAATTTTCATTTTTGGTGACACGTGAGTGTGTCAGTGTTGTGTGTGGTGTTTATATTTTGTTGTTGGTCTCAGTGACCCGTGTTGGTGTGTACAATTATCTTTGATATATTGTTGTTGGTCTCAGTGACCCGTATTGGTGTGTTCAGTGTAACTTTGTGTTCATTAACTTGCGGAGTAAAGTAGACTCAGTGTTGTGTAACTTTGTTATCTTGAGATGATTTCGGGGCTTTAGTGTCCCCGCGGCCCGGTCCTCGACCAGGCCTACACCCCCAGGAAGCAGCCCGTGACAGCTGACTAACTCCCAGGTACCTATTTACTGCTAGGTAACAGGGGCATTCAGAATGAAAGAAACTTTGCCCATTTGTTTCTGCCTCGTGCGGGAATCGAACCAGTATTAATTTCAATTGATTTGATACGCGGTGATTAGTAGATTAGTAATCGTATTGACTGATCGATGTTAGTTAAGCGGTCTTAGTGACGCTGAGCCTTAACGTAAATTCTTCATGAATTGAGTGAGCTGTCAAGCTGTGACAGATTCTAGTGCGATTACTCAGGGATTGCTAATTACCCGTAGCCATTGTTGATTGTCTTGACTTTTGAATTGACTGAAGTAAAGTAACGTAATAGTCGAGTGTTGTTGTTCTTGTCATGTACTGTTAGTATTAAGTTTTATGAATAAACTGACTGTTAAGTACAAGTGCCTTTACGTTCACCCTTCAGACCCTTGCACCTAATAATAACTTTGCCAATATTCTCAATACTATCGTGAGCCTTTTTATGTTCCATGTATTACTTCAAGTTTATGTCGACTAAGACCTTTTGTTCGATGGGACCCATGTAGAAGTTCGCAACTTGAAACCGGCCATATACTGCAGGTATGTTGACGACATTTTTACACAGGTACCTGATGTTAGACATCTGCAGGAGCTGAAGGAGGCATTTGAGCGGAATTCTGTGTTGCGTTTCACTTACGAGATGGAGAAGGATGGGAAGCTGCCCTTTCTAGATGTAACAGTCATGGAAAGGAGCAGAGGTTTCCACACTGCAGTCTACACTAAGGAAACAAACATAGGAATGTGCCTCAGTACCAACAGTGACTGCCCAGACAGGTACAAGAGGAGTGTTGTTAACACTTATGTCGACCGTGCTCTCAGCCACAGCTCAGGATGGAAGCAGGTCGATGAAGAACTCTGTAGGGTAAGGCAGGTCCTAGTCAACAACGGCTTCTCCAATGGTTTCGTTGAAGACATTATAAGAAGGAAGGTGAAACGCCATGCAACCTCTGAAGAGACAACTAACACAACACCTGTACCCCCTATTAGACTATTTTACAGGAACTTCTTTTCCACAGCTCATAAAACGGAGGAAAGGGTCCTAAAAGATATTGTTAATAGGAACGTTATCCCTATAGACAAAAATCAGAAGATACAATTGACGATTTACTATAAAACCAAAAATACGGCCAACCTACTCAAGAGAAACTCTCCAGACACAAAGCAGAACGCTTTAAAAGAGACCAATGTCGTCTATGCCTTCAAATGCCCGCTTGGGAACGGTAAGCCTCAAAGAACTCAGTATATAGGCAAGACAACAACATCTCTTTCCAGGCGATTAAAGATGCATAAGCAACAGGGCTCTATTAAGGAACATATAATCACTTCCCACAACCAGACCATCACCAGAGAAGTATTAACAAAAAACACGGAAATCATCGATAGATACAGCGATAGCAGGCGGCTTCATATCTGCGAGGCACTACACATTGAGAAGTCGACACCAGCAATCAACATCCAGTTAATGTACAACTATATTCTACCCACTTCAA